TGCTGATATCTGAATACCAGTGGCATAGCTTCCAGAATCACAGCAACACACAAGCCCCCACAGTACGACAAACTGACAGATGTGGGGGGTTAAAGAGCTTAGGTGTTTAATTTTTAGGAGCTCCCAGTTATCTAGTTTATGCTCTGGTGTTTGTGCATTGTTAGTTATGGTTTATATTGAATTTATGCCATGAATTATGGCCCCTAGCATTGTCCCTATTTTTTCTTCCATGATCTTTATGGTTTTAGGTTTTATATATAGGACTTTGATCTATTTTGAGTTAGTTTTTGTGTATGGTATGAGGTATGGGTCCTGTTTCATTTTTGTACAGATGGACATCCAGTTTCGCCAATACCATTTGTTAAAAAGACTGTCTTTTTCCCATCTAATGGACTTTGGTCCTTTATCAAAGATCACCTGACCATAGGTGGATCGTTTACATCTGGGTTCTCAATTCTGTTCCATTGGTCTCTGTGTCTGTCATTGTACCAGTACCAGGCTGTTTTGACTACCGTGGCTGTATATTAGATTCTGAGATCAGGTAGTCTGAGGCTTCCTACTTGTTCTTTTTCTTCAATAATGCTTTACTTATCCAGGTCCTCTTTCCTTTCCATTTAAAGTTGGTAATTAGTTTTTCCATCTCATTAAAGAATTATGTTGGTATTTGGATCTGGATTGCATTATATGTTTAGCTTTCTCTGGGTAGGATTGACATTTTCACAGTGTTGAGTCTTCCTATCCATGAGTGTGGTATGTTTTTCCATTTATGTAGGTCTCTTTTGGTTTCTTGCAATAGTGTTTTGTAGTTTTTTTTGTATAGGTCTTTTATGTTGCGGGTTAGACTTGTTCCTAAGTATTTTATCCTTTTAGGGATTTCCTTTTCAAAGTTCAAGTTTTGTTTTTCTCCAGCTTCTTTCAGGATCCTTTCTTTGTCTTTGGTTTGGCAAGTGTGATTATGATATGTCTTGCTGATTTTCTTTAGGGGTGTATCCTATATGGGGTTCATTTAACTTCTTGGATGGTCAGCTTTTTGTCTTTTGTGATCTTTGGGAAGTTTTCTGCCGGCAAATCTTCAACAATCTTCTCTGTGTGTTTTCCATTTTCTTCCCCTCTTCTGGAACTCCATTCGGGTACAAATTTTTGCTCTTGATTGTGTCTCACATAGTTTTTAGGTTTTCTTCATTCTTTTCTTTGATTTTTCCTCAAAGTGGTGTCCATGGTTTGTCTTCAGTCTTACTGATTCTGTCTTCTTTTGTTTCAAATTTGTTCCTAAGACCTTCTATTGAGTCATCCATTTCTGAAATTTTTTTGTTTATCTTTTAGATTTCTAGTTGCTGTTTTTGTATAATTTCTAATTGTTTATTTATTTTGACATTTCGTTCTCGTATTATTTTCCTGAATTCTTCTATTGCTTTGTCTGTGTTTTCCTTGATTTTGTCTGTGTTTCCCATGATTTTGCCTACATTTTCCTTGGTTTTGTCTGTGTTTTCCTTGATCTCTTTCCTAATGTCTTGGAGAGCCCTAAATTAATTAGTCTTTTGAATTCCATATCAGGTAGTTCTGCTGTCTTTTCTTCTAGCGAAAGGCACTCTGATACTTTATTATGGTCACCTGTTGGAGTCATCTTGTCCTGATTTTTTATATGTTCTGATATTGTTTGCTGTCTCTGAGACATTAAGGTATTATTTTCTTTATTTATTGATTGTATATTTGTGTCTTTCATCCTGCTTTTTTGTCTTGTTCTGTTATGTCAGAGTGGGCAGGCCAGGCATGCTTTGCTGCTTTCTCATCTGTGGGCACAATATCTCCCTCTGCCTTGTCCGTGCAGGGTGAGCCCGCTTGGCTGTACACTGGTTTGGCAAGATGGCTGAGGGTGGACTGGGAAGGTGCTGTCTGCCCCTGATGTTGGTCTAGCAGTGTGATAGCATTCACAGCCCCTCACCAGATAAATGGGGGTGTTGAGTTGGGAGTGGTATGGCTCACTTGCCACCGTTCAGCAGTTGGTCGAGTGGTGGGAAAGGAGGGGTGGTGCAGGCACAGTTTGGCAGCAGGCGTGTGTGCCAGGCATTCTGTAGCCAGGCCACACGGTAGGGGCCAGAGGGATTCAAGGGTGGCATACAGGGCTGGGGAGCAGGTGGGTAAGAAAAAGGAAAGAACAGAAAAAAAAATGGCAGTGCAGTGGTGCTGGCCATTGAGGGCCAGTGGGAAGGGAAGGGAGTTCATATACTGGGCTAGGTAGGAGAGAGAAAGAAAAGAAAGAAGAAAAAAAATTGTCATTATGGTGGGAGCCTCGGGTAGGAGTGGGGTGGATCTGGGACAGTGGCAGTCTGGTGCACCAGTGGCTCTCTAGCCATGGTGGTGCTGCAGAGTCTGGCTGGAAGGGGGGGAGTTGGTGTACAGGGCTAGGTGGGAGAGAGAAAGAAAAGGAAGAAAGATAGCAAGAAGAAATATATAAGACTAAAAAAATAAAAGTAAATTAAAAAAAAAGCTGACTGTGTGTTGGGGGCCAGTGAGTGGGGGCGGGGTGACCTGAGGGCTGGCGCGAAGGAGAGGAGGTGTCTGATGGGGGTAGTTTGAGGGGGAAAGAAATGAAAGAAAATAAAGAGAAGGAAAAAAATGGCTGTGTGGCAGGGGTCAGCAGGTATGAGTGGGGTGGACCCAGGGTGACAGCAGGTCATTGTCTCACTACCCACGGTGGTGTAACAGGGTCTGGTGGCAGCGGGGAGAGGTGGTGTATGGGCTAGGTGGGAGGGAGAAAGGAAAGGAAGAAAGAAAATGAAAATAAAATAAGAAAAATAAATTAATTAAAAAGACTGGTGGCATGGTGGGTTCTGGTGAGTAGGGGTAGGGCAGACTGAGGAGCTGGTTGGAATGGGGGGGAAGTGATGTACAGGGCTATGTGGGATGGAGAAAGAAAAGAAAGAAAGGGAAAAAAAGGAAAAAAAATGGTGTGGCGGGAGGCAACAGGTGGGTACAGGGCAGGTCCAGGGTGGCACTGGGCCACTGGCTTTCTAGCTAAGTGGTGCAGCAGGGCCCAGCAGGAAGGGCTGCAGACGGCATACCGGGCTAGGTGGGAGAGAGAAAGAAAAGGAAGAAAGGGAACAAAAAAGAGCAGTGGGAGCCAGTGGGTGGGGGCGGGTGGACCTGGAGTGGCAGCGGGCTGATGGTTCTCTAGCTGAGCGACATGGCACAGCCCGCGGGGAGGGGTGGTGGTGGAGTACAGAGCAGAAGGGTGAGATTTGGGAAAGTGTGTTTCTCTGGTTACTGGGTGCTCTGTCTCCTCTTGGGAGCTCCGTGAAGTTGCCTTTTCATACTTCCTGTCTGGGGTCCTTGCTGGCTGTGTTCCAAGATGGCAATGCTGTGCTGTATTAGTTGGCAGGGGACCTCCACTCCATATCTCTCATGGTTCTGTTTTCTTTCAGTTTCTTTTTCCATTTGGTGTTTGATCTAGTTCTTTATCCCTTCATTTGATGCTGAGGGTTCCAGGATTGACGCTTCTATCTGTTTTACTTAGTTTTTTGGGTCTTTGCTGCAGAGGGTCAGCATGGTGCATCTGTCTATGGCGCCATTTTGTCTTTGTCTCCCTGGAGATCTTTTCTGATTTAATATTAAAATGCTTTTTCACAAGGCAAGACCGGCAAAGGGGTAACTCCTGGGAGATACCTGATTATTCGTCTAGCCTCCTTAGGGTTTTCTCCTATGATGATCATTAAGTTTATTACTTCTGAAAGAACAAACACGAAGTTGAAGCGGTAGTCTGAAAAGACTATGATCAAGATCTAACTAATAAAAGAATTACCATCGAGCAGTATTTTTACAGGTTACAAATCATTTTCTCTTACATTTGATCTTGCAACACCTTCTAAAACAGGTTTTCCAACCTCCTTTTTTATAGATGAAGAAATTGTGACTTCTAGGAATCAAGTGAAATGCCCAAGATCACACAGTGCTTCACAGCAGGATTTGAGATTTGACTCTGAGTCTTATAACTTTATTTATTTATTTATTTTTATTTTTTTGAGTCTTGTAACTTTAAATGCCACTCTCTAACTCTATACTGCCTCCTTGATGCATAGGACACTTTTAAAAGAAGGAACACGTCCTACTGGAACTAATCAGAAGAAAGAACTAGAAATACAAATGAGCCATAACCAAGCGCCTGTTATTTTTTGTTACCTAACTGAGTGCTGGGAAGTTCCAGTGGAGGCTGACACATAGTTTTTGTACCCTATAACTTCACTCCTGAAATGTTAGGACATTCTCATTTGAACTCCTGGCCAACTGAAAAATTAAAAGCAGACAGCGATGGGGCTGTTCTTTTAACTTTGTGTTTTCTTAAACTCACTGAAGTACTGCTTTAGATTGGAAGCGGCTAATTGGATAAAGGGGACACAGCCAGTCAGCTAGATAAATACTATTGTTAAAGTGGAGGCTATTAGTTATAGAAAAGGAACACATGAGAACAGTTTCTACAGCAATGTTTTAATTACAAAGTGAAGGAAAGTTCCTCCACTCTATTCTAGTTCGAGGTCAAGTTGATATGTCGCAGCAGCCCAGGGAAGCATGCGGGCCGATAAGAAGTCCTTTTTATTTTAAGGCAGGCTTGAATTCTAAAACTTTCTAGTGCCAAAACCCTTCAGTATTAATATTATTATTATTTTTAATAAGGACTCCTTGTGGCTTCGCAAATGTCTGTGCAGGAGTAGAAGTGACAGTGGGAGAGCCGGGCTGAGTCCGTTCTTATTAAATAGCTAAGTCTGTACCCTTGAAGCAAGCGGGGAGAGAGGAGGGACGGGAGCTGCTGACATTGACAATGAATGCAAACAAGAGTTGCACTAGCCTTGTCCACAACGTTGCCTCTCCCCCCCCCCCCGCCTGGCCTTATGGGAGTTGTAGTTTCCGCGGGAGCGACTCCCCAGGCGAGCCGGGAAGCCCCGCCCGGGCCGAACTACAGATCCCAGGCCACGTTCGGCCGCCAGCCCTCCCGCCCGGGTGCGAGTGTAAACTAGCCGTGCACGGGGCGGGCGGCGCGAGCGGGCGAGCGCTCTGAGCTTGGCACTGCGCGGGGGCGCACGGCTCTGGGGAGCCAGGCCCCGCTACCTTTCCTCTGCCCCGGCCTCTACTCTCACTTTCGAGTAGTGGAAGGACGAGAATCGGTAGCCATGCAGTCGGAATCGGGAATCGTGCCTGATTTCGAAGTCGGGGAGGAGTTTCACGAAGAGCCCAAAACCTATTACGAACTCAAAAGTCAACCTCTAAAAAGCAGGTGAGTGGTGACAGTTGGAGGGCGGCTAGGCGGACGGCTGGGGAGCCCCGCGCCTTCCATCCCGGGCCGTGGAGATCCGGTCGTTTGGGCTCTGGGACAAGGACCCCGTGCCCTTGCCCCGGGGTAGAGGGCGAACTGCCCCCCGCAGCTGAGGGGCGCGCCGGCCTGGCCGGTAAGCATCTAGGGAGCGCGGCGGGCCGCCGGGGATGTCGCGCCTAGGCGCTGGGACCCTCGTCTGGGGATGCCAGCTGCGGAGACCGGGTGGGGGCTGGGGAGCGACCCGGCGCGGAGGTGAGGAAGGACGAGCGCGGGCTGAGACGCTGTCGCTGTGGGAAGAGGGGAGAAAAAGAGTTTCTGGTGAACCCCTTTTCTGAAGATTCCAGCGACCCGAGGGCTCTGAGGCGGAGAGCTTGGAGGGATTGAGACGCGACGGTCGGGGTAAGTTATCAGCTCTTCTGTAGTCTCCTCTTAGGAGCCCGGACCCTCTGGGAAAACCCGCCCCTGACCTCCTCCAGGTGAGCTCTGCTGGGGCCCGCCTCTCACCTACCTGACCGCGGCGCGAGGGCGCAGGCCCCGGGGACAGCGGGTGGGCGTGCCTCCTCGTCCAAGTTAAGCTCCCTGGAAGTCGTTGTTGTTAGGGGCGGTCCAGTCGCTTCTGACTCACAGCGACCTTTTGTAGAATAGAACGCAGCACTGCCCGGTCCTTCGCCATCCTCACAATCATTATGTTTGAGCCCATTGTTGCAGCCACTGTGTTAGTCCATCTCGTTGAGGGTCTTCCTCTTTTTCGCTGAACCTCTACTAAGCATGATGTCTTTCTCCAGGGGCTGATCCCTCCTGATAACATCTCTAGAGTAAGCGAGACTTACTTTACTTAACTTTACAAAGCAAGGGAGATTTGCTTTACTGGAAATAGAGTCCCATTGAAATCCAGGTCTTCCCTGGAGGGGTACTGGGAGTGTCCCTTCCTGGCAGCGGCAGGCATTTAATTCTCTGTGCACTTCAGAAACTTTCCAGGAGAGGAGTCAAGATATGTGCGGGCCTGACATCTCACTACCTCTTGTTTCCTTTGCGCCTCCCACCTTTGCTACCTTCTTTCGACTTGTCTGGGGGAATGGGTTGGGTATCTTCCTTTTTCTCTACCTTGTGGCCATTCTGAACCCCTGGGACTTCTCATTTCCAATGTTTACCAAGAGGGAGGACGATCAGTTGAGGCTGTGATGGCAGAGAAGGGTTTACTTCCACCCCCTTCGTTGTGCAATAAGATAAGGCTATAACTGGAAGCTTTCAGTTGTGCTCCTGCACCCATTTCCAACTTTCTCGCCCCACCCTTCACCGTGGGTGGGGCCTGGTAGGGGAGAAGGCGCAGAAATCAGGGTGAATGAAGAGGGAGACAAAATCAGGAGTGAGGTGTGTAATCTCTATTTGGAGAGCCTGGGGCTACTACTTGCTCTCGCAGAAAGCCAGGGAAAGGTTGGTTGGTTTTAGGGCTGTGGCAGGACTCTGAAACCCAGTTGGGGAAGAAAATGGGACCAGCGCACCCACTGACTGCGTTGCTGAAGCAGCTTCTTTGCAGATGCACAGCAGAGATGGAAAGAAAACATCCTATGCAGTTAGAAGCCTAAAACCAACCTTTAGTTGGTGGTTTTTCTTCATAATGACTGTTTGTGTGTGTGTTGGGGGCCGGGGGTTTTGAGTAAAATTGTATAAAGGGTATTGTTGGTTGTGTTTATCGGGGCTTTATCTGCATTTGGCTGAAGGGACCAGTGTTTTACCGAGCAGTCCCTGCTTTTGCTTCTATAAGCAAATGCTTACATGGCCAGAATGAGGGAGTGAGTGTGTGTGTGTTGAGTCCTGGGGAAGAAAAAATGAATTAACTGGACTGTTTGGAACGTTTTTGATGATAGCTGATACATAACATTAAATTAGTTTGAGAGAGTGAGGAAAACACCATCTGGAAAAACACAAATGAGTGCCACGAAACTCATGTTGAAGGATTGGGGCCTGTTCTTTTTCAGAGTCGGCAAAAAATTACTTGTCAGGGTGAGCGTCCTCAGTAGCTAGCCAGCACGTGGAAGGAGGAATGTGGGAACGTGGGAAGAAATGGCTTCACACGTTGAGGCTGGAAACAGGTGCGGACAGAACTGGTACGGAGAGGAAGGCTAAATTAAAAAAGTGGTTGCAGAACTTATATGTGGAGCAGACGCATGCTATTTGAAATAAACCAGTTAAATAAAATCTGTGAATAAATATATGGGGTTGGCAAAATTTCCCTGTACTGATTTTCCACAGTTTTCTAACGTATTGTCATCGACATCTGTTGTGCAGCTTTAAAAGGGCTACACGTTGTTCAGGGTCTTCTCATTGCTTTTTGCGTTAGGTCTTTGCCAGGGCACCTCACTTTTCTGTGGGTCTTAGTAGGAAAAGGTTGAAATGGAAAGATTAAGAGTGCTATAGCCGTTCTGTCTTTCCGTTGTATCCCCTGGATTGTCCCACTGGAGTTGAAAATATGTCCAGAATCTGCCCACTTCTCACCAACTCCTCTACTGCTACTCTGGTCCAAGCCACCATCAACTCCCTCCCGGATTATTGCAGTAGTCTCTTACCTGGTGTCCTGCCTTCCACCTTACCTGCCTGTAGTGGATGTTCAACACAGCAGCCCCAGTATTCTTGTTGAAACTGGCTCTCAACCAGGGGTGACATCTGGCAATGTCTAGAGACATTTTTGGTTGTCACATAGAGTGGGTAGATGGTTGCTGCTAAACATCCAATAATGCATAGAACGGTACCCCACAACAAGGGATTATCAGCCCCCAAATTGTCAACATCGCTCAGGTTGAGAAACCTGGCATGAACTAACCCTCCGATGGCTCCTGTTTCTCTCAAAGTAAAACCCGAGGTCCTTAAAATGGCACCAGGTAGCCTATGTGGTCAGCTCCCTGTCCGCTCTGATGTCCTCTCTTACTGCCTGTCTCTTGCTCCCTCTGCTCTTGCCAGGCTGGTCTCCTCGCTGTTGCTAGAACACTCCAGGCCCCTCCCTCAGGGTCTTTGTGTGTTGCACTTGCTGTTCACTCTGCCCAAAGTCCTTTCCACACAGAGCTACAGCACTCACTCCCTCCCACTTCATGTCTTCTTTTAAATGTCATCCCCCGCAGCCCGACCCAGACCACGCTATTTACAATTGCTATCTCTCCACACTCTCAATCTTGCTTGCCCTACTCTGTTTTCTCCCATAGTACTTATATCCTAAGCTACTATGTAATATGTTTATTATGTATCCCTCCCCACTTGGTGCAAGCTCCAGGGAGCAGGGATTTCTCTGTGTTACTTATTATTCACTGATGTATCTCCTCAGCCTAGAACAGGGTGTCTCAACCTGAGCACTGTTGACGTTTTGGACTGGATAATTCTTTGTTATGTGTGTGCGTATGAGTGTGTTTTCTGCTTTGCAGGATGTTTACCAGTATCCTTGGCCTGTACCTATTAGAGGCCATTAGCACCCCCTCTCTACCCACTGTTGTGACAAAACCAAAAAATGTCTCCAGACATTGCCAAATGTCCCCTGGGTGCAAAATTGTCCCTGTTTCAGAACCACTGGCCTAGAATAATGCCTGGCACAGAGAAGGGGCTCCATAAATGTTTGAGTTTGTTATTGCTCTCCCTGTCAGTACCCAGCTCAGAGTAAGGTGTTTGGTTTTGTTTTTGCACTTAACATTGTGTTCCTTTCAGAATAGGTATCCACGAGGTGTCTCCCCAGAGGAATTTGTATACTCTTTATTTTGGTTGGAGCCCTGGTGGCGCAGTGGTCAAGAACTACGGCTGCTGACCAAAAGGTCGGCAGTTCCAATCCATCAGCCGCTCTTTGGAAACCCTAGGGGGCAGTTCTACTCTGTCGTAGGGTCGCTATGAGTCGAAATCGACTTGATGGCAACGGGTTTGTTTTTTTTTTTTATTTTGGTCAAGCCTAGATATTAACTGTTTCATGAGGGAAGACACATTTCATTCCTAATCGGGACCTCTTTGCCTTTAGGAATGTGAAGTTGCTGGATTTTGATTTATGCAGACCTTGTTTTGGTCATATTGACTGGTAAGGTTGTGTCTTGTGAAGATGACACGCTAGGAGTTGTTGTTGGGTGCTGTCGAGTTGATTTTGACTCATAGTGACCACATGTGGCAGAGTAGAAATGCCACATAGGGTTTTCTTGGCTGTAATCTTTATGGTAGCAGATTGCCAGGTCTTTCTACCTTGCGGCCACTGGGCAGGCTTGAAATGCCAACCTTTCAGTTAGCAGCCAAGCGTTTAACAGTTTGTGCCACTAGGGCTCCTTAAGAGCAAAAAAACAAAAAACAAAAAAACCAAACCCACTGCCATCGAGTTGATTCTGATGACCCCATAGGGTTTCCAAGGCTATAAATCTCTGTGGAAGCAGACTGCCACATCTTTCTCCTGTGGAGCTGCTGGTGGTTTCAAAAAGCCGACCTTTCAGTTAGCAGTCAGTTGCTTTAACCACTGCACCACCAGGGCTCCTAAGGGCTCCTTAGGAGAGAAGGTTCTAAGTGAATTGTTTGTACTTTGGTTTCCCCAACAAGGGTTTTGAAACCTTTGTGTGTGCTCCCGAGAATGAGTTCTGAAAGGTGGTGGCAGAGGAAAAGTGCTGAAGATCAAGAGTGAGCCCAGAATTCACAGTTCGGCACAGTCAGGGAAACAAATTTGGAATTGTTGAATGAGATCCGTGCAGCTAAGGAACTTTCTGTATGTCTTGTTGGCCTTAAAACAACATTTTAAAGCCCAGTAGCCTGTTTCTGCCTCATGGTTCTTTTGTTCAGTTTACTTGCTGCCATAGTCTGTGGCTTTGTAGTTGCTAATGCCCTTTTCCTGGAGGGACTTGAGGACTGGTTTAATTTAATTCTAATTTCTTCCCTTCTCAATTTTTTAGTGTTGTTTTAGGCATCTGTTATTTAACTCTCTGCAAATTAGAAATGGGAATGAAAGTGAACAT